GGGAGGTCGACCTGGGAAGTCGACCTGCGGAGGGCGTCGACTTGGTGACACCAACTTGGGGCAGCCGACTTGGGTGGTCGGCTGGCAGGATCGCTGGTCGACCTGGTAGTTGGTCGACCAGGCCTGCTGGTCGACTTGGTGGTTGGTCGACCAGGCGTGATGTCGACCTGGTGGTCGACCTGACCTGGTGGTTGACGGAGGAGGGGCCGTCGTCGACCACGACTCAGGACGCCGAGCAGCTGGGCGTCGAATAGCAGGGCGTCAACTTCGTGACGCCGACTACGGGTAGCCGACTTGGATGGTCGGCCAACAACTGCGCTGGTCGACCTGGAGCTGGTCGACCAGGGGCGTGGTCGACCTGGTGAGGTCGACTTGGGGTGGTCGTCGACTTGGGAGGTCGACGGACACATACAGGAGCAGCTGGTCGACGTGGTTGCCCGGCCGACCAGGTTACCTGGGTGACGAGGTTCTGCGGAGGAGTGCGACGGTCGCCCAGGCGAAGTTGGCGAGTCTGACCTCGGTGGTGGTATCCCGAGGTCGACGTGGCTGATCAGATGCAGTCGTCAGCGCCAGGTTGACTTGGTGTGTGCGTTGTGCAGGTGACAAGGCTCCGCACGCCAATCATCTGCGAGCACCTGTGAAGCTGGTGCGATGCTGTACTGCGGGAGCAACGCTGGCACGCCGTCGACCTGCAGCGTTGGCATGCCGTCGACTTTGCACTGCTGGAGCGCGGTCGACCAAGTCGTGTTGGAACGCGGTCGACCATGCTGCGCTGGCAATCGACCGACCTGAATGCTAGCTCTGATCCAGGCAGGACGAGCGAGGACGGGAGGCGGGCGCGGATAGGGCAGGCGCGACGGGCGCGGACGGGACAGGCGCGGCGAGCGTGGCAGGCGCGGCAGGCGCGACAGCAAGCGCTTGGCGGGCGCGGCAGGCGCGGACGGCAGGCGCGCAACAGGCGCGGACGGGACGGGACTGGAAACCGACGCGACAGGCAGGGCGCAAACGCAAGCACGCTGCCAGCAGATTTGTCCGGGGGGGGGGGGGGGGGGGGGCGGGGGCGACGGAACGGGACGTGCGAACGCGACGGGTGCGATGTGACGGGACGGACGGGACGGGCAAACGGGAGGGGCGCGACGCGACGGAACGGGAACGCTACGCGACGGGACGGGCGGGCGCGATAGTCGCTACGGGCGTGGTCGGCTAGCGCGGAACGAACGGGATCCGAGAGGATCCTATCCTAGGTGATACCATGTCAAGAACAAATTTGTGTGTTGAACAAGGTTGGTTGGGGTACATAAACCTAACCCTAACAATTGTACCCCCTGTAACACACCTCACTAAGACTACAACATTTGACATCGATGATACGTGGTGTCGTTGAGGTAGCGGTGTGAAGTCTTAGTAGCAGCCCAAGACCAGGGCCTCAGATTGGTTTTGGCGTAGGCTGAAATATCAGAGTCTGTACGAAAAATTATGCTGAAAATCAGACAAATTAGCCATTTTATGCCATTTTACACTACATATTTCATAGATTTTCATGTTCTGTTCCAAAAAAATGGCTGGAAAATCAGCCCTGATTCTGAAAATCAGTCTGAAATCTCAGCTTTTTTTTTACCTAAATCAGCCTTTTTTTTCGCTGAAATCTGAGGCCCTGCGTGAGACCGTACTATCGTGGCGATGCTGGGAAATACAGGTAACTTCCTGCAAGTCATCGTTGTCAACCAAAGATAACTTCCCTTGTGTTGGCAGCAACCAAAGATTGGCAGCATAACACATACTTCATAATTTCAATATAATACGATTCAAAACTAGCATATTTGTTTGATGCTTCTTACAAAGATTTCATAAACCGAAAGATTTATCACAAAAAAAAACTACTTTATCACAAAAAAAAAAAACCTACAAAGGGGCTGCCTGGGCTGAGAAAACTACAACGGACCGCAACGGACAGATCTGAGAGCCACGGACTCGGGGTATCTGGTTGATGATGATAAAATGAAGACACGCAGCAGAAGAAACAATAAATGAGATTAATGGGCTGTATGGTATGATGGTGTGCACCATTGACATAGTATAGTGCAGTGCAAGTGAGGAATGATTCGTGTACGACAAAATGCAGACTGCAGTTTGATTTGTCATTGGCAACTCACGTATATGCCGTCCACCACTGCCAAAAATATCCAGCCCAACCAATCCGGCGGCAGTCATCCACTCTGAAAAGTTCCAAGTATTTACAACCAGCAGCACCACCGATAGCCTTCGTTGCGTAGATAGTCTTGAAGTTCCCAGCCACCTCCTTTGGGAAATTGGTGCAGACATTATTCAACCAAAAGGTGTAGGGTTTGGATGCCCTTCCGCTGGCATTACGATCCTGGATGAGTGTAATACTAGCGGCAGATAATTCATTAGCTGAACCTGAGAATGGATGGCACAAGCAGCATGGGAAATGCGGAGCAAGGATTGGAGTGAATAAGAAAGAAGGGTCATGTCATGGTACTGTGCATTGGGATAGGAAAGGACGAATTAGGCAAAAAGCTGATACACAATTAAGTTGGCTGCTGTTGAAGAAATCAATCGTTTGTAGCATGGGGTCACATCTTCAGGTTGGGAGGCTCTCAACCTTCTGATATCACAGCTTCAGGTTGAGAGGCTCTTAGCTTCATGATCCGTCATGCACCTCTCAGCTTCAGTATCCGTCACCGCACTACACCATCTCCTCAGCCCTCAATAAACACAAAGGTAGAGGAATGCACCTTGTGATAGAAGGGTGGGAAGCAGATGGGGCGCTTTTGAAACTTACCCTCTTTGCATCCTGCTGTGGTCATCCCAAAGCCCAGGGGGCACTGGCAGTATGGCACCTCCGCCTCTTCCCAGGTAGTTGTATAAACGGTGTTGCAGGAGGCTCCCCTGGGGCATGTGCCACAGGGTGATTCTGAGCAACATAACAAGCAGAGGAGGCACACGGCATGGCAGAGAGATGGTGAAACGAGCACAGAAAATGGGCCAGCTGTGTAGACGAATGTTGAGTGGAGCCAGCAACAAAGAGGGCAGTTGCAACAAAAAGTAGAGCTAGAGGAGAATGAGTGCAGATGGGTGGGGTTGGGTGGGTGTAGAGAAAGCTGGGAACCATGCGTACCCCATTTGCAAGAGCGAACGCCATCGGTGTTGATCACGCAAACCCCATCCGGTTCACAACCCAATTCGGCGCAAGCAATGTCTGATGTGAGTGCATGGGAGGATAAGATGGAAGAAGGGGAAAAGGAAATAAGGACATAAATGGCCTTAAAGGTCGAATGCACGCAATCTGTTTTTGAGTCGACTGAAAAACAGGTTTCGAGTCAAGAACAACTTGAGTCAAAAACAGGATTGGAGTCAAAATCAGGTTTTGAGTCAACTCAAAAAAAGGCCGCAGAGTCGGATGCGCACAATCTGCAAGAACTTTGAGTTGAGGGGAGTCCAAGTTTTTAGGCCTGGTTTTGAGGCGCCTCAAAACTAGAACTAGCAAGGAATTTGTGTTGAGGAGAGGCCAAGATTTGAGGAATGTGTTTGAAACTCAAGGCACACGTTTCGTGTTGATCCAACTCACCAATGCAAGAGAGTGAGTCATTTGATGGCTTAAAGCCCGTGTTGCAATTGCAAAAAGGATTCCCGTTCACATCCTTCGTGCAGTTTCCGCCAGGCCCACAATTCACCGTGTTACACAAGTCTGCAAAAAATAGAGACCCAGGCAAGAGGAAGGAAAGTTTCACCTTAGGAAAAAATGTTGAGATATTGACAATCAAGGGTCAGGGAGTTGAATATGCACGCACATCAGCAGCTCGTGCAAAGAGAATGGAAGAGAGACAAGGTTGTAAGCACAAGGCATGCGTTTTGTGTTGCTCTCCTCCAACTCACCAATGCAAGAGAGCGAATCATTTGACGGCTTAAAGCCCGTATTGCAACTACATAATGGATTCCCATTCGCATCCCTAGTGCAGTTGCCACCAGGCCCACACTTCACCGAAGCACAGTTATCTGTAGAAAACGGGGCGCAAGCAAATGGAAGAAAATGATCACATTCAGAGATAAGAACGCTAAGATATCAACAATCAAGGGTCATGGAGCTGAATATGCACGCACATTAATAGCTCGTGCAAAGAGACTTGAAGGGAGGCCAAATGTAAAAACTTGGGTTTGGAGCTCAAAGCACACGCCCTGTGTTGCTCTCCTCGAACTCACCAATGCAAGAGAGCCCGTCAACAGATGCCTTAAAGCCCGTGTTGCAACTACAAGATGGATTTCCGACCGCATCCCTCGCGCAGTTACCGCCAGGCCCACAATTCACCACATCACAGTTATCTGCAGATAACAAGGCCGAGGCAAGTGGAAGGAAATTATCACATCAGAAAACAATAATGCTCGGACCTTCACAACCAAGGGTGGCGCAGTCGAACATGCACGCAATCCGTCAACTTGTGCAAGAAAGTTGAATTCATGGGAATTGAAGGGAGGCACAAATTTCAGGTCTGGAACCAAAGGCACACGCACTTCAGTAATTATTGCAAAAAGAGTTTATGGAAGGCTAAGCTATAAGGATTGGGTTTGAAATGCAATACACGCGCTCTGTGTTGCACGTCCCCGACTCACCAATGCAAGAGAGCGTGTCATTCGACGGCTTAAAGCCCGTGTTGCAACTACAGAATGGATTCCCATTCGCATCCTTCGTGCAGTTGCCGTCCGGTCCACAAATCACTGCGTCACACAAGTCTGCAAGGAAAAAGGATCCAGAATGTTAGTGAGGTTTTACAACCAAGGGTGTTTAACAAATAGATCATGTAATGATCATGGGTCGGACTGGAAACATAGAGAAGGGCAATCAGTAGTGCACTCTCACTCCCCTGTTCAAACACAGATATGCTATCATAATTCTTACCAAGGCCAGTGTCATCAACGGCAGGATTAGTAGCAGCGTGATTGCAGCGAAGCCCGGGTTGCATGGGCAGGTGACGCCCTTGCTGTCAGTCGTTGGCATGCACGTGGAGTTGGCGGGACACGTGGCGTGCTGGCAGGTGATTTCTGGCAGCATGGGGTGAGAAGAGAGTCATGTGGGTAGTACAGGGACACGTGTGTGCAATGCGGCAGTGAGAAGAACATGGGGTAAGAGCAACAGGTAAGAGCAACACGGGGGTAAGAGCAACACGGGGGTAAGAGCAACACGGGGGTAAGAGCAACACGGGGGTAAGAGCAACACGGGGGTAAGAGCAACACGGGGGTAAGAGCAACACGGGGGTAAGAGCAACACGGGGGTAAGAGCAACACGGGGGTAAGAGCAACACGGGGGTAAGAGCAACACGGGGGTAAGAGCAACACGGGGGTAAGAGCAACACGGGGGTAAGAGCAACACGGGGGTAAGAGCAACATGGGGTAAGAGCAACACGGGGGTAAGAGCAACACGGGGGTAAGAGCAACACGGGGGTAAGAGCAACACGGGGGTAAGAGCAACATGGGGTAAGAGCAACACGGGGGTAAGAGCAACACGGGGGTAAGAGCAACACGGGGGTAAGAGCAACACGGGGGTAAGAGCAACACGGGGGTAAGAGCAACACGGGGGTAAGAGCAACACGGGGGTAAGAGCAACACGGGGGTAAGAGCAACACGGGGGTAAGAGCAACACGGGGGTAAGAGCAACACGGGGGTAAGAGCAACACGGGGGTAAGAGCAACACGGGGGTAAGAGCAACACGGGGGTAAGAGCAACACGGGGGTAAGAGCAACACGGGGGTAAGAGCAACACGGGGGTAAGAGCAACACGGGGGTAAGAGCAACACGGGGGTAAGAGCAACACGGGGGTAAGAGCAACACGGGGGTAAGAGCAACACGGGGGTAAGAGCAACACGGGGGTAAGAGCAACACGGGGGTAAGAGCAACACGGGGGTAAGAGCAACACGGGGGTAAGAGCAACACGGGGGTAAGAGCAACACGGGGGTAAGAGCAACATGGGGTAAGAGCAACACGGGGGTAAGAGCAACACGGGGGTAAGAGCAACACGGGGGTAAGAGCAACATGGGGTAAGAGCAACACGGGGGTAAGAGCAACATGGGGTAAGAGCAACATAAGGGAAAGAGCAAGATAAGGGTAAGAGCAACATAAGGGTAAGAACAACACGGGGGTAAGAGCAACATAAGGGTAAGAACAACATGGGAGTAAGAGCAACATAAGGGTAAGAGCAACATGGGGGTTAAGACCAACATGGGGTGAGAGCAACATGGGGGTAAGACAATGAGCAGCGAGGAGAATCAAGCAATGCGGGCTCTCGGGTGATGTGGAGCACAGGAGAGCACACAGAGTTGTGGTGTTGCTGGTGAAGTCAGAAAAGGGAGAGAAGGCAGAGAAGGCAGAGGAGCCAGAGAATCTCCCTATCACGTATCAGGAGCCAGAGGCAAGGTAGTGCGGCAGAAAGGCAAGGTAGTGCGGCAGAAAGGCAAGGTAGTGCGGCAGAAAAAGGCAAGGTAGTGCGGCAGAGAGGTAAGGTAGTGCAGCAGAAAGGCAAGGTAGTGCGGCAGAAAAAGGCAAGGTAGTGCGGCAGAAAGGTAAGGTAGTGCGGCAGAAAAAGGCAAGGTAATGCGGCAGAAAGGTAAGGTAGTGCGGCAGAAAGGTAAGGTAGTGCGGCAGAAAGGTAAGGTAGTGCGGCAGAAAGGCAAGGTAGTGCGGCAGAAAAAGGCAAGGTAGTGCGGCAGAAAAAGGCAAGGTAGTGCGGCAGAAAGGTAAGGTAGTGCGGCAGAAAAAGGCAAGGTAATGCGGCAGAGAGGTAAGGTAGTGAGGCAGAAAGGTAAGGTAGTGCGGCAGAAAGGCAAGGTAGTGCGGCAGAAAGGCAAGGTAGTGCGGCAGAAAGGTAAGGTAGTGCGGCAGAGAGGTAAGGTAGTGCGGCAGAAAGGCAAGGTAGTGCGGCAGAAAGGTAAGGTAGTGCGGCAGAAAAAGGCAAGGTAATGCGGCAGAAAGGTAAGGTAGTGCGGCAGAAAGGTAAGGTAGTGCGGCAGAAAGGCAAGGTAGTGCGGCAGAAAGGTAAGGTAGTGCGGCAGAAAAAGGCAAGGTAATGCGGCAGAAAGGTAAGGTAGTGCGGCAGAAAGGTAAGGTAGTGCGGCAGAAAGGGAAGGTAGTGCGGCAGAAAGGTAAGGTAGTGCGGCAGAAAAAGGCAAGGTAATGCGGCAGAAAGGTAAGGTAGTGCGGCAGAAAGGTAAGGTAGTGCGGCAGAAAGGCAAGGTAGTGCGGCAGAAAGGTAAGGTAGTGCGGCAGAAAGGTATGGTGGCAAGGTGGCAAGGAGGCAAGGAGGCGAAGAGTCGAAGCAGCTAGGAGGCAGAAGCAAGGCATGCACCACACTTGCAGGAAACGGAAGCCCATTGGGGAATCTTCTTTGAGCTACACACAGGGACGGCAGGAACACATTCAAGTGAGACATGAGGAACACATTCGAATGAGACGTGAGAAACGAATTCAAATGAGATGTGATGTAAAGGCGGCACAACCCGAAGGCATTGGTAGAGGAAACTCACTCCCCCTCCCTCTCCCCCTGCCCCCATCACGAACCTGTCCTGCCCCCATCATTCACCTGTAAGTACTGGTCCTCACTCATCACCCAACACCCACCTGGGCATGTGGAAGAATTAGAACCTGCCACCACTGGTCATCATAGGCATTGAGTCAGGACCCACCTGGGCACGTGGAAGAATTTCCTTAGAGCGGCAAACTGCGGCTGCAGCACCTCATCCAGCGCCTTGCCCTTGCAGGCCGGGTTGGCGAAGAACCTGAGCTGTTTACACGCCGCACCTCCACCCTTCCCACGCGAACCACCGCCGCTCTTGCTGCCGCCGCCCGTGCCGCCGCCCGTGAGCCCGTGCCACCACACCTGCACGTCTCCCGCCGCCTTGCGCGCCGCCCGGGGAAGGCTGAAGCAGCGGAGGGCGTCGAAGCTGACGGGGAGGCTCACGCCCGGCACCGAGATCACCGTTGCCACGTGGACCCGAGCCTCCACCGCACCACCTGTGCTGCTGCCATTCCCCGCCCCCACGCCCACCTGCATGCTCAGATTACCGCTTCCTGCACTGGTCTCCCCAGCTGCCATGTTAGCCATGGCGAGCGCTGGAGGGGTGAGAGGGAGAAGAGGGGGTGAGAGAGAGCAGAGGCTTGTTTCTCAGATGCAGTCACCAAAGGCTTATTATTTTGAAGCACTTTTTGTATCCGGAATATTATCCAACGGCGAGCTTACGGCCAGGGCCGACCGCCATCCACTGCGCTTGGCCTGTAAAGAATCCCCCCTACATTCAGAATCTGCTAAACAAACGCACAGAATGAAGAATTCCTTGGGAACGCCAATGAACGACAATGAACGATGATGAACGACAATGAACGACAATGACCGACAATGAACGACACGACTCACCGCAGATGACGGCGAGGACGAGAAGCGGAAGCAGCGCGGCAGGAGAGACGGCCATTATGATGGCGGTCAAGCTGCCACGTCAGGTGGGGTCAAGCTGCCACGTCAGGTGGGGTCAAGCTGCCACGTCAGGTGGGGTCAAGCTGCTCGCCGCTGCCACGTGAGGTGAGTCACGCGCAATGCGTAGCGCGGCAATATCAAGGAAGAATGGCTCTGAGTTGATAGTAGACGGCGTTGCAATGTACAGCTGATACATACGGGTTTCGGGATATCTTGAGCTATTATAGCGGTATAGCTGCTGGCGTTACAGCACGAGAGTATTGCACCGAAGCGGGGGAACAGATGCCATGGCTGCTCTCGAGGGTAGTTTATAAAGAAAGCTTGGACACTCCCTTATCGCCCGAGGCTGATACTAGTCCAGGACGAAGCGCTAGGAACGCGATCGGGAGGCGACGAATCAGGATTTACTGAGAGTCTCACGTTGATAGCCGATCGCAATGCCGTCGCACGCTGTGTTGCGAAGACCTGCGCTAGGCAGAAACAGAGCGTTTGAGCTGGCGAACGACGGTGGGTGTTTGAACGACGCAGCGGGATTGGACCCCATAGCAGCAGAAACGAATTATTGGCATGCAGTATCATGGAGGATCTGCTCTGCGATCTTGATGTGTGTTATACAATCTTGTCGCACACAAAGTGAAACCTCGAAATCGCACGGCTCTCGTTAGTTGATCGTGCATTATTCACTCCCAGCCAAGTGAATTATTGCAGTCGCACAGGAGGAGGCAAATGCGCAAATGTGGTGCAAGATGGACGACGAATGGGAGGAAAATAGGTTTCGCTAGAATGCGGATCAATAAGAGGCATTAACTTCAATGTTTTATTTTTGGCCTAAATCATCCATTTCTTCCTACGTACGATGACACGTGCACTATATGAGCAAGGGTACAAATGTGTTCCTAACCTGGTTGGTGGTAGTGCCGACATGCTGGCCCAGGTTCTTCTCGAACTGGTCGAGCAGTGTGATGCTTGTCCATGTATATAGTAAGTCGCCGACGCAAACTGTGACGATGATGTAATCGTCATCCCAGGGTCATGAGGCAGTTGAGCGAATCCAACTTCAAGCAGGATATTGTGCAAATGTTATTGCCAGAGTCTTAATTCCTGCTTGATCCCGTACAGTAAATTCTTCAGCAGGAAGACTCTGGAGTCTCCTTCGCCGTAATCGTGTGGCTGCTCCACATTTATCACGGCATCGACTAATGCGCATTGGAACGCATTCTTCAAGTTGTTTTGTCGAAACTGTAGGTGCCTTGCTACGGCGATGGCGAGCAGGATTTGTACAAGTGTGTGACGACTCACGGGAGCGAATGTATGGTTGAAATCAATCATGTATTGTTGGTCGTATCAATGCACGACCCAACGATCATATAAGCATTTGATGGAGCTGTCAGCTGCGGTTTTCATGCCGACACCCATTTCCACGACAATATTCGTCTTCCTTTGGTTGCGGCTCGATCGACGAGCAACCAGGTGTCGTGCGACTAAAGTGCTTTCAGCTTTGCGTCTATTGTGGCCCGCCATTCCTTTTTGTGGGGACCTGTCAGAGCTTGTCTTGGGATCTTTAGCTCAATGACTCATGGGGCTGATGATGTTGCTGTGTGAAGGCTGAACAACTGCTGCCTGGACACTGTGGTATTGCGATGGTGCTCAGGTAAAATTCTTGTACGTCGTCATCGTCACTCTCAGGCACGGGCAAGGCGGTTGGTTCAAGGTCTCTTTGACTGTCGTGCGATGGTCCAAGTGACGCTTAGTCATTATCGTCGTCATTGTCTTCGTCGTGGCGATGCGGATGAGCTTCAAGATGTTTCTTGGGTAGCGTAGGGACTGGTCGCAAAGCTCTCGTGTCCAGGAAACGTAGTACTGACCCCAAGTCCTAGAGACGTCCAATACCCACCAAGTTCCTAGAGAACAAGAGGACGTGGAGACTTGTGAGGGAACCTGGGGGGACAACTAGACAAAGGAGCATGATAGTACTGCGAGCGAGGTCCAAAAGTGGGATCAGCTAAGGCAACCGCGATTGGTGCTGGAAGTAGCCTAACGGTGGTATGGTCACAAAATAAGCACTAGGACGCGCCGGAGTCGAGCGTGAAAGGACAGTGACGTGTCAGCAGAATGCGCACCTAGGTTAGCAACAACACAAGCACTTACACTAGAAATAGGAAAGGATCCTAGGCTAGGTACACGCCAGCAAAAAGATCCAGCAACACCATAATCAATAGCAGAATAGACATCATCCATAGACGTAGCGAACACATTGTAACCATGACTCAGCAGACCGAGACAGTGTGGAGGAACTGCCTCAAGCACGTGACACATGCGAAAGAGATCTTCAAGGCGACTAAAGTTGTGCCGAGTGGAGTGTTGAGGCATCCGCTATTAATGTTGGCACCAGGGTTAGACAGGATCTGGTAATGACGGGGCTCGACGTCGCTGCCAATGCGACGAGGTCTCTAGCTGCCAAGAGCATTATTGCGGCCGATGCTCCCTATATCACTAGGTTCCCGGTACTGCGGAGGCCCCTCTGCTGCTGAGATCCTCACTACTGGAACTGCTGCTGCTGCTGTTGTTGCGAGACCAAGCGAAACCAAGCAAGAGAGACCAAGCGAGACCAAGCAAGTGAGACCAAACAAGACCAAGTGAGACCAAACAAGCGAGACCAGGCGATACCAAGGAAGACCAAGCGAGACCAAACAAGCGAGACCAAGCAAGCGAGGCCAAGCGATACCAAGGAAGACCAAGCGAGACCAAGCAAGAGCAAGAGAGATTAAGCAAGCGAGACTGCGGAGACCCCTCTGCTGCTGAGGTCCTCACTGGTGGAATTGCTTCTGCTACTGATGTGCCCCTACCACACCCCCAGGGCTAGTACCCCTACCAGGCAGACCTGCAGCCCCACCACCGCCTTCAGAGCCACCTCCTTTCGACGCACTAGTACCTCCGCCACCTTGACCACATCCACCCTTCATTGCCCCGTTTTTTCCAACCAGTGGCAGAAATAGCTGCAGTCTCCTTAGCCACAAACGATTGAGGAGTCGTGAGGGAAGCAGTGAAGCTCGAGAGCTGGGGCCGAGCACACCTAAAAAAAGGACGGGGAATAACTGAAGCAGTAGCAGAGGCAATGAATCGGTGGTTACCCTTGATCTTACTGAGAGTGGTCTCAAGGAGTTCGATTGCAAGCTTATTGGTGTGCTTCTGGAGAAGCACATCGCTTGTAGATGAGAGGTGGTCAGAAAGACGAGTGCCAATGAAATAAAGGCTGGGAAACATAGGCAGGGGTGGCTAGTAAGATGGGTGGTAGAAGGGGTAGCATGATAGCTAGTGTCGAGTGAGCACAGATAAGTGACTAGGTCAGCAGTAGTGTGAAACGCAGCAACCACTGGGAAGAAGAATGGCATGAGGAGGCGACCAAGAGTGGAAAAGGAAGGTCTGGAATCGCGAGAAACGATGGCATCATAACACTCGTTCACTGACGTGTCCTGGCTGAAGTGGACACACTCGGAGATGCGGTGAGAGTGGGAGAGGATGCAATGAGAGTGGGAGAAGATGCGGTGAGAGGGGGGAAAAGATGTGGTGAGTGGGAGAAGATGCGGTGAGAGTGCAAGAAGTTGCGGTAAGAGTGGGAGAAGATGCAGTGAGAGTTGGAGAAGATGCGGTGAGAGTGGTAAAGTTCAGGTGCTACCCACGTGACTGCTGTCTATACTGCCTTGCTTGTACCACAAGGGCAAGCAAGTGCTGCCTCTTCACCCGTAGAAAAAGATATTGTCGTGTAAGGGCCCATGCGTTGTATTGGTACAATATCGCCTAAGATTGAGATAATAGTAATAGTGGAATTTTGTTGAAGAAACTGTAAACAGAATGATCATGATCACAAAGCACGCTAGCAGACCGTATCATTACGTCCTAGGAAGCCATGTACTCTGAGGGGTGCATTATACTTATCTACACCCGTATCACCGTCACCAATTGCTCTGCTTAGCCTTCAAGGAGGCAGTAAGCAATCGTGATAATTGATTGTGGCCGTTGACTTACCACGCTCCTATGATTGAGTCCTCTATAATATGTTGAATGCGCTTTTGAGATAACTTTTAAACACCAAAGGTCCTATCACTAATTCCAACATAAAGCACAGAAACTGTCGCACCCAATAGAGCGGCTTCCATCGGGCAAGCCCTTCCTGGTTGATGGCACAAACTAGAGGGAACAAGAAATGAGAAGGACAGTCTTGAGTGCAGGGTGGAACTTATGGTAAATACAGTGCACCATTGAACTTGGTATGGTGAAACGCAACGTGCAAGGATCCATGTATAACGACATGTACACTGCATAAGAATTTGTGATCGATTGGCAACTTACGTTGTTGCCATCACAACGATTGAAGGACCAGGCTAGTATATCTCAACGGAATGTAGCAGGCGAGGAAACGACAAAGACGAAACAACATGCCCGGGGCAAAAAAACTAAACCCCAGATGAATGGCATGAAAAAATTTAGGGTTTAGGCTCCCGAATGGCATGCCGGTCGCTATGGGGTTTAGTTTTTTTCCGCCTGGGTCAGGGTGACGCTCCCAAAAGCGTCACCCCCGAGCGTCACCCCTGGCAAAACGGAGCATCACCCTCGATTCCGTTGAGAGATACAGACATCGTGCTTGCCGACCACTGGCTCGAGAATGTGCAGTCATCATCAGTGAAATAATGGATGTTGAAACAACCCGGATCATCCCCGATGTGATCCACTGACCACGTCCTTCGGGATGTGAGTGCAGCCAGGATTCAAGCGGAAGGTGTAAGGCTTGGACGCATTGCCCCTGGCGTTATGGTCCTGGAAGAGAGTAATACTGCTGCCAGCCACTTTGTGTGATGCACCTGCAAATGGATGGAAGAAGCAGCAAAGTTTTTCTTTTTAAGCACCTCATATATTGCCTCTAGCGTTACGCTCCTAGAAGAGAGTCATACTGCTGTCGGCCACTTGGTGTGATGCACCTGAGAATGGATGGCACACGAA